GAATCGAGATCCTAAAGGCATGTCTCTTCGTCTATATCTAAACGCTCACTCGATTTACTAAACATCCTAAAACGAGCAAACGAACAAGGCGATACACTAAGGGAAAAAGGAATGCGAGACGACAACTCGCGGACCTCCCTCAATATCAACTCATATTCTTCCCGCTACATTCATACGAATAAAAACACGCTCTTAAAAAACGCAAACTGATTTTTAATAAAGCCGCAAAAGTGGCAGGGACTCAGAGCCGCACACGGCCAGTCCAAAAACTATAACGGCCACGCTCGGGCAGACCAAACGGCCTACGAGGCTAGTCTCAAGGCCGACAAAGGTCCGGATTCCATCGACATCAATATGCGCAATAATTCTTACACGACATATAACTAGACCGTAAAGGTCTTGCTAGGAAACAGGTCATACAAACTACGAAAGGCTTGATCCCCTCAAAAGGGTACGTAGGCAGCCTTCACAAGGTGCAGCCCTAATTTTAAACGCTTTCCGCTCCCTGGAAAGTGGAAAGATCACTTTCAATGGACCTTTCCAACCATTAATTCCGCCTAACTTAACTAAAACTGTTTAACCACTCGCAAGAACCTTACGCTAAAGGCTCAAGATTCTTACGAGCTGGGGCGCTAACTGTTGGGGTCAAAATCGGTACGACGGAATCAACGGCCAAAACTCCCCGCAGAAATATAAAAGGAATCATTTTATAAAACCCAAAGAATCGTTTTATAAAACTCGAGGATCATTTTATAAAACTCGAGGATCGTTTTATAAAACTCGAGAATCGTTTTATAAAACCCGAGGATCGTTTTATAAAACTCGAGAATCGATTTATAAAACTCGAGGATCGTTTTATAAAACTCGAGAATCGTTTTATAAAACTCGAAGAATCGTTTTATAAAACTCGAGAATCGTTTTATAAAACTCGAAGAATCGTTTTATAAAACTCGAGAATCGTTTTGTAAAACTCGAGGATCATTTTATAAAACTCGACAAGCCGTTTTATAAAACTCGAAGATCATTTTATAAAACTCGAGGATCGTTTTATAAAACTCGAGAAGCCGTTTTATAAAACTCGAAAATCGTTTTATAAAACTCGAACATCGTTTTATAAAACTCGACAATTGTTTTATAAAACTCGAAGAATCGTTTTATAAAACTCGAAGAATCGTTTTATAAAACTCGAAGAATCATTTTATAAAACTCGAAGAATCGTTTTATAAAACTCGAAGATCGTTTTATAAAACTAGAAGATCGTTTTATAAAACTCGAGAATCGTTTTATAAAACTCGAAGAATCATTTTATAAAACTCGAAGACCGTTTTATAAAACTCAAGAATCGTTTTACGAAACCGCGAAAAACCGAAACAGCCGTAAAACGCGAACTAGTCGCAACTAGTTCACCCACCGGCGAACTAGTCCCACTTGACTAGTTCGCCCACCGGCGAACTAAGCCAGCTTGGCTTAGTTCGCCGGTGGGCAAACTAGTCTTGTCCCGACTAGTTCGCCCACCGGCGAACTAAGCCAGCCGGCTTAGTTCGCCGTTGGACGAACTAGAGACTCCCTGGACGTCCCGAGCCTCAATCTCCCGCGTCCCCGATTCGAAACTTATGTCTTTCGACACGGTCGCATTCTGAACCACGGCCGAAATGTCTCCCGTTCCATCTCAATCCGACCTATCGTTCGAGTTTTACGATAAAAACCGTAAAACTGCATTTTCACGACAAAGAACTCGAGGAAATCGTATAAAACGGCAACGGTTAAAAGGAACACCGAACATTGCCTAAACTATACGATTTATTCGAGATTTCTTGTTAAAATCGTAAAAAAAACGCGTTTTTAATAGAAACGTCGAGTAAATCGTAAAAAACGCTTTTTAATAAAAAACGTCGAGTAAATCGTAAAACCTTACGATTAGCTCGAGGAATTTACTAAAAACGGCATCAGTTCTGGAAACGATCCCGTACAAAGTCTGAAAACAGATTTCTCGCAGAACGGCCTGGAAGGTCCTAAAACGCGATAAAAGCCCATCTCGCGATCTTGACGGAATCTAACCCGATGATACGATAACGTTTTGATGGTTTACTCGCAGGAGGAAAATAAATGTCAAGCTTGAAGATAAAAGGCAGGTTTGAAGAAAAAATAGAAGAATTCCGCGGAAGAAAAGGAAAGATCGAGAAAAATGGAAGATTCCCGATATACTCAAATCCGGGCGAAATGGAAAGACCGAATGGCCCAGACGAGGAGTATATAAGTAAGAGGTCTAGGGCAGAAGCAAGGGACACGATTTTCAGAGCTCTCACCACCAAAACTAGCATTTAGGAATATTTCTGTTTTCTGTTAGCGAGCTGCGTCTCAACTAGGGTTTTTCGTTCTTAGACTTTTCGGCTACTCTTTTTGTACCAGTTCTTACGCAGATTCAGAATAAGAACCTCTTTGCTCCCAATTTCGTTTATTCTTTTTTGAATTCTAAGTTTATCGTTTGTCTTAATCTTCGTTGTGCGGTTCTGCAGATAGCCGGTTCCTTTGGAAACTTAAGGGTTTTCCCGAAGTTTCCTTATTTACGATTATTTGACAGTAGGTCGATTTCGGTTCCCACATCATTCATCTTAAACCAAAAATCATAAAAATCCTGACCTTTTAATTTCTCATCATTTTTCATTTAGTTTATCATTCTGTTCATCATTTAAAACCACAAACTCGGCACTCACGAAAATCGCCCACCAACAAATAAAACTCGCTGAGATTACCAAGCTCGGCCTTGGACTCAGATGCTCGCTAGCTCATCACAGCAACGACCTCTCTCCGACCTCTTGTCTCCGCTCGACTGATGGCCCTGGCATGATCCCTGGCAAGCCTTGACTCTCGCTCCAAGACCTCTTTCTGCATGTGAGCGAGATCCTTCTCCTCTTTCCCCGCCTTGAAGTGGTAAACCATCGCCTCTTTGTTACCTTCTTCAAGGTCCGAACTAAGTATGTTCAGCCCCTGCAAAGACAATCAACACATCAGAATAATTCGCAATATCGTCAAGTGGAAAAATGCCAACACGTATGTGAGAGTTAAACTAACCCCATTAATCATGTGGGATCCTTCCGCGACTGCTTCAAGTCTCCTCCATTCTTCCCCAAGTGGAGGCGGGTCGAGATCTGTAGGAAGGTCAGCAAAGAACCAATCAAAGTCAGGCAGAGGCAAGTCACTGGAACCACTATCGTCGCCAAAAGCAAGATTCGGATCCCATTCAGGTAGTACGGAGTCATCGATGGAAAAATCTATGCCACTGAGGTCAACTCCTTTGCCTTTGAACGATTCAGCCTCCGCCCCTCTCAAAGGGACATGGCAGAGGAGGATACGATCATCAAATTCCGAGTCAACATCCTCTGCCACCCGGGAATCAGAAAGGAAATGACCCAACGCCCTGGGGACCCTCTTTGGCGTAAAAGAGGACCAGAAAAATGGCCCGTTCCTTAGAAAATCCCTCGCCGCCTCCATATCGGAAAGAAACGGAGCAAGGGGATTGGTGTACGGATTGGGGTTCGACCTGCTTCGAAGCAGTGGGATACAACCTTCATCAATCGAATCAGCCCTTATACAAATAAAAAAGGAGAGTTTCCTCCATGGGCTGCAGTTCAAAATGGGATCCCTGATCACTGACATGTACTTCCGAGGGGTGAACCGTAGGTGCATGGCTCCGAGACATATTTCAACCTAAGGAGGTCCTCGAAGTGATCAATGGTGAGAGAAAAACCATGTTCGTAGCTCAGTACCAAGACACCGATAATATGCTGAAGACTGGTGGGGTTTAACTGGCCAACCGCTACCTCAAAGCAATCCAATACCCGGCCTTCGGGATAAGGTTCTCCTCCTCGCAAGTACCTCTGGATGAGGAACCACGAGAAGCAGTCTTCTTCGAAGACCTCTTCCTAGAAGACATTTTCTGAACCTTCTTTGGAAAAAGAGGAGGGAATTTCTTTTCAACTTCTATCTCAATAGAAATTTTCTCTTATGGAAATGAGCAAGTGGGAAAGATGAGAATTTACTCAATATACTTATAGGCATAAGAAGTTACTTATTGTCTATAGATTTTTGGATGATTAACTTCGTCCAAACTCACCAATCTTGCCCAGCTTATCTAAACCGGACGCTAGAATCTCCTCAGCAATCTACGATTCTAACGGGATGAGGGGGCTAACTGTTGGGGTCAAAAACGGTCAAGACAAAGTTAACATCCAAACATCGCACAAAAAGTCAAAACAGAACATCCTAACTTAACCACAGATGAACCAGGTTGTTACATAGTAACCCAACAGGCAAAAGGACTAAATCGCTACGTAACACCGATCTCAAGACAAGTTCGGTCGCTACGTAGCGACCAAGCATGTGCCAAGCTCGGTCGCTCTGTAAACATAAACCCATACGTTGTCGTCTAATATTTTATGCAATTTCTTGAAGGCCACCTTTGAACTACCTCTCTTTTACTTATAGATCGATGTTATCGTTCAGACTTTACGATAAAAACCGCAGAAAGCTTGTTTTTATCGAAAAGAAACCGTAAAAAACGTTTCGAGTCGAAATATGAAGCCCACTTACGGTTTTTTATTAAAAATACCATAGATCCTATGGTGGTTTGTCCTTGGCCTGCAAGAGAAGATAAATTTCAAGTTTCCGCAGATAAACGTAAAAATTCTGAAGATAATTGTGAAGAGCGGGAAAAATAGAAAATCTCCTTTTTTTGGCAATGATGGCTTAAGAGAAGAAGTGAAAAGTGTAAAACGACTTCGGAAGGAGTATATAAGGAGTTCAAGGCAAGAGAGACAGACACAAAAAAAAAAATTAGCACTTAGAGCATTTAGGCAATTTTCCGTTTTTGTTATTCGAGCTGCGTCTCAGTTAGTGTTTTCGTAGTCTTAGGTTGCTAGAACTAGGATCTCGCCGTCAGCTCTTTTTAATTAGTATTCATTTTATCGTCATTTTACTTCTTGTTCTTGATTGCTTAGCGTGTGGTTCAACAGATAACCGGGACCTCTGAGAAACTAGGGTTTACCCTATGTTCCTAATTCAACGGAAATCGACAGTGCGAATTTTGGTTCCCACAATGCCTATGTTCTAGATTAGCTAACTAGAAACCTGAACCTAGGAGTTTAGTCTGTTTAAGCAACATTTAGACAATTCTAATCATCCTGAATTTATTCTATTAAGCTAGGATTTACTACAGTATAGCGAGGACTTTATCTATGGATCTATAGTGAGTATAGATTAACTCGCGCATAAAGCTTAACTAGCCGCATCGATCGATATTCCCATCGGAAATCGATCAATGTCAAGAGAAGTGAATCGACCGATATTCATATAGAATAATCGATCGACGCTGCTATTGATCGAACACTCTTGTTTGGGTCAATAGATCTAGTTAATAGGTTTATTTAGTAACGCGATCACTTTGCCTGATTTGTTATTTAGTGGTGAAGGTCTTCAATATCATGCATACAACTATTTAACACATATAGGATTATAATCTCCAACACCTAAATAGAAACCCTAGATCTAGCAATCATCCTTCCATCAAACAACTCTCTTGCAAGCTGGACAATTGTCTTGTTCATCTTGTTTACTGTTTTATTTATTACTTGCTATATTTACTGCTTAATAATTTATTTATTGTTTTATGATTTACTTGCCTAGATTATATATAACTGTTTAGATCTAATTGGTTCCCTAACTCATTGTGGATTCGATCCCTAAGTACTACAGCTCTACCTCTTATTTGAGAGAGTAAAGTTACTCCTTATGATAATTTGAGTGGGATCAAGTTACATGAGGAAAGGAGGACACAAAAGCTAAAGCAGTCAGACATGCTTGATGAAGGTGATGCTTCTGCCCCTAGAGAAAAGAAAGAGTGAATGTTTATGTACTGAGAATGAACTTTTGGAGTAATCACGAATGATGAGGATGGTGTTCAGGAAAGAAGGGTTGCCTTTTCATAGGTGTTGAAACCCTAATTTGAAGAGGGATACATAGCATTGAATGAGACTTTTTACTTGATGTACGTCTATGGAGTTAACAAGTTTCTTTAAGGCGATAAATCAAAACATCCTGTAATGTCTCGGAGGATAAGAACCAAAGACGAATTTACAAAATCAAAGTTTGACACAGAGCTTCTTCACGATGATTCGTCTCACTCGACATTCAGAAACACCATTGTTGCAGGAAATAATCGGAGCTTGGAGGATACAAAGAAACCTAGAGAAGGACGGCTACAAAGAAAAGAAAAGCGACAAAAGAGACAGTTTTTTTATGGGCAAACATTTTTCGGCCTGAATCCATTAGAAATCATACACGTTCGAGATATTTTAAAGTTCAAGTGACACATGTTACATTCAAGATACTTCATTGGATGATGTGGCTTTCCCAAAAAGAAGAGAAACTTTTCTTTATAGTAATATATACTAATGGTTTGTCTGCACTTCTCGTAGGATATTTGATAATTGTATGACATAGTGTCTAATAAGAGGATCTAATTGTTTATGATAATTAAAAAAAAAAAGTTGAAAGAATTTATCTCAGTAACAATGTCTTGTAAAAGTTTACATTGCGTTAAGTTCAAAAAAAGTTTTCTTTATGCATACGAATTGAATTGAACTCCTTGGTTGTCTAAGGCGACAATCAATTTTCCATGCAAAATTCAAAAAAAAAAAAGAAAATTTATATTTTTTTTTTTTTTAAAAAGCAACATTCATCAATTAAATTTTTCACATGATACAATAGATGATGTAGGCCATGTTCGTTTTTGTACCGGATTGCATTTGGATGCTAATACTCAGATGTTGTTCGTTTGGACACTATTGTATTTTTCTTTTTTGACATCGACAAAAACAGATTCATATGGACTCTGTGAACTAAATCGGTAGCTCTTTATCCATGTGAACAACAAAATCCGGTTGTTTTCTCGCACTGCGTACTAGACTGTCCGCCTGTGAGTTCAGTGTTCTTGGTACATAGATGATTGCCGAGATGTAGAAACTCTCTTTAAGCGTCTTGATATCTTCCAAATAATTTGCAAAGGCTGGCCATTCTTTTGGTTCCGAAACCATCTTCACCAACTGAGAATAATCTGTTGCAAATGTAACTTGATATTGACGTAAATTCCGCATACTCTCCATTGCCAGATACGCGCTTCCACCTCAGAATGGAGAGGTGAGAGACTGGATCTAACATTTCTTGCTCCCATTAAACCCATAAAACCTTCAAGGGTACTATACCAACCATGTCCGTCAAACACATCCTTATCTTTCCATGAACCATCAATAAAACACCAACGTCCTGGTATAGAGGGTATAGCCATGACTACCCCTGACTGTGCTTCGCTCAGATCTACTTTTATTTGGGCCTCCTCCCACAAAGTTGATTCGGTCTCCGCTAATGTCAGTGTGTCCTTCGGATCAACATCCAAATTACTAAAAAATTTGTTATTTCGCCCTTTCCAAATGTACCACAATATCCATGCGAAATGATGATCATCCATCTTCGGAGTAACCAGCCAGAATAAATGATCCATATTCGCGAACAGAGACCCTGTAGGGAAAGTCACCAGGTTCAAAGGAATCTTAGACAATGCTCAAACTTGGCGTGTTGGTGGGCATTCGAAAAAAATATGGTCAACCGATTCCTCTTCATCACCGCATCGGTCACAACATATATCACCCTTTATCCCTCTTGCCTGTAGATTTTTATTAACTGCAATACAACCCGATAGCAATTTCCATAGGAAATGTTTTATCTTGGGAGGACACCGTACCTTCCCGCAGAATACTTTTAATGCATCCACTATAGGTCCCTGAATCTCGGTCGGCCTTCCTCTATTCGGGTACACCCTTTCAACTTCATATCCTGACTTAACCGTGTATTTTCCAATCTTGGTAAAATGCCATCCCTCCCTATCTTCCATTTGTATCCTGCTAAGTGGAATACTTCCTATTATTTCTGCATCTTGGGGGTCTACTAGAGCTTGAATAACCGGCATATTCCAAGTCCTTGTATATGTATTAATGAGTGAATCCACTGTGAGTTCCGGAAAAACGTTTTGTTGATTTTTATTTGTTGGTCTCGAGCGAGTGGTTGGGAGCCATGGATCATTCCATACTAAGATATCTAGAATATCTAAATATTCTTATAATATCTCGAATATCTAAATATTTGAGATGCTAAAATATGTAGGGTTTTTATGCATCTCAAAATACAAAAAACCTAAATACCTTTCATACAAATATAAAAATTAATTATGTTAGTTATTATAATTATTATACAATATTTTAATCACAAATTACGGTTTCCTGCAAAAACCGAAAAAAAAAATCACATTTTCTCGCCAAAACCATAAATTTTTTTTCCGACAAAAATCTAACAAATATTGTTTTCTGCCAGAATTTTAAAACCATATTGTTTTGCTGAGACTGGAAAACCCATGTTTTCTTACCAAAACAGAAATCATGTTTTCCTACCAAAACCAGAAAATCATAAATTCCAGTTAAAACCATAAATCATGTTTCCCCCATTTCCCCTCCCAAAAAAAAAATTAAAAAAAAATTTCCACCAAAATCGAAAAGTCTGTTTTTCAACAAAACCGAAAAATTATGTTTTCTTGTCAAAATGTAAAAATGTTTGTTTCATGCCAAAATTGTAAAAAAAAAAATTTCTCACCAGAACCTTAAACTCGTTTTGTTTTTCCAAAATTGAACATTATGTGTTTTCCAGTAAGTTGCAAAATTAAACTTCCTGTCAAAACCCACAAAATCAGATTTCAAAAAAAAAAATGCAAAATCAATTTTGAGGTAGAGCCGAAGATACGATAACGTTTTGACGGCTTACTCGCAGACGGAAGATAAAAGGCAAGTTTGAAGATAAATAGGAGATTTCCGCGGAAGAAAAGGAAGGATCGACATATATGGAAAGTTCCCGATATATTCGGTTTCGAGCGAAATGGAAAGATCAAAACCGCCTAAGGAGGAGTATATAAGGAGGAGGCATAGGGCAGAAGCTAGGACACGATTTTCAGAGCACTCACAACCAAAATTAGCATTTAGGAATATTTTTGTTTTCTGTTAGCGAGCTGCGTCTCAATTAGGGTTTTTTGTTCTTAAATTTCCGGCAACTCTTTTTGTACCAGTTAATACGCAGATTCGGAATAAGAACCTCTTTGCTCTTAATTTCATTTATTCACTTTTGAATTCTAAGTTTAACATTTTCTTAATCTTCGTTGTGCGATTCAGCAGATAGCCGGTTCATTTGGAAACTTAGGGTTTTCCCGAAGTTTTCTTTTTTACGATTTATTGACAGTAGGTAGATTTCGGTTCCCACATCACCCAGTTTCTTCGTGAGACTGAGATAACATGGTAAAACCTCTAGAAGTTGCTTGTGCTCTAGCGAGTATTGCTTCAGCCTCACCTAGAGAACATTAACAAAGGATAATATAAGAGTAGGATGAAGTGAAGGTAAGCTTGATTGGATCAGGGGGACTGGAAAACCGTTTGTAGACGGAAGTGGATAAAATCTTGATTGGACCAGGAGGACTATTTCTAATCCGTTGCTGCTTGCCCCTGAAAACGCAGAAGACTCGATCCCTCGCAGAAGCTTTCCTCTACAGTTCTGGCAACAGAGGTAAAGAGAAGAAGCATAATTAAGTTGACTTAAATTCACCCCTAAACAATCAAGCCTTGATAGACCAGAGGTGTTGAAGTGAATATCGTACGCCACAGCCACGATTCCGTCTTCACGCAATGATGGCAAGCGAGAGAGACGGTGGATTTATTTCAGGTGCGATGAAGAGATCGTGATTTCTAGAAGAGAAGATCCTCGCTGATGCAAACAAAGCATTGAAGAACTTGTACTGGGCATCTGAATTAATGAGATTAAACATGAACAAAACCATGATGCACTCCGTTTCAGACCCGATGGTGAATTGGAAGAGTCTGAGTTAGAGAGACATAACATTCTGTATTGAAAAAAAGAGATGGGCTTTTCTATAGAGGGTAACTTTCAGTTTTGTTCAGCCCAGATTCTATGTCTACAAAACAGAGTGTGACGTGGAAGAACGAAACTTTATGATTGTTCTAATTTCCAAGCCGACGTGGACATGCTATCTTTGCTCTTTATTCTTCGAATGCTGTAAGAGAAGCTAGCAGTAAGAGCCTCCATTTCTGAACAAAGGCCACCAACCAGCAGAATCAAACAAAATAGACGATCAACTAAATGATGAAGGATTCCACACCCAACAGAAACCATGAGCACATATGAAGGCAGTGTCTACATGCAGTGAAAAACACTAAGGATACAAACTTCAAAAAGCCTATGATATTGCAGCTACTTCTCAATTTCATGTTGAATAAACTCAGCTCATAAATCCATCCCTCTCTGAGGAGGTGTTGGAAAGAGATCAACAGGTCGAAGCTTATTGATCCTTGGATCAGCATGTGACCCATTAAAAACAATGAGACGTTAGAAACTGATTTTATTCCAGTGAGTGGAATAACTAATAGATTCAGTAACCAGTTTAAGAGACTTTAAAGTTACTAAGTTTAATATCTCCAATAATTTATACAGACAACAGATTCAATGGAGTCAAATTACCTTCTCATCTACCAGAACCATATCGATCCTCTTTATATCTGAGGAAACATCTTTCTTCTTATATATGTTAACCAATTTCTCCTCTGCATAGAATGAAGCAATAGTTGTTATGCTCTTACTTGGCTTGTTTCCTTGTACATTCTCTGGCACAACTTTTTTCAATATTATCAAAAAAAAACAGA